GATGGGTGGTGATGACTAGCTGCCTTCCCTCTAGTCTTACACTGCTAAATTAGGGACGGCTAGCGCAGATAGCCCTCGTGTAGCTTTGCGCGAAATTCCAAAACAAAACAAACAAAAACGAAACAAGCGACAACATTAAGTATTTTATAGGATGTGTTTGGTGTTATAACTGAACACAGTGTTGATAAAGTAGATTTACAGTATATTGAGAGTTAAACAATATATTTCGAAAACGATGGAGTATCCGTGTGGATGGATAAAAAAAACGATTTTTTTTTAATACTGGCATTGATATTTTAAAATAATAATAATAATATATTTTTGTGTTATTGTTGATCGAAATATGTCATTTGTAATAAATTAACAGAGAATATTTATCGAATTCATTGTTTGTTAATGTTAAAAAAAAACAAAAAAAACTACCCGTGTCATTTCTGGACACTTTCGACGTTCCTAGAATAACGTCCATAGTTATCAGACCAGGTTTAGATTAATTTTTATTCTATATATAAAATACTCTAAACCTGATCTGAAAACCATGGACGTTATACTAGTCTATATATAAAAAAACAAGAAATCTAAACATGGTCTGAAAACTATGGACGTTATAATAGGAACACTGAAAGTGTCCAGAAATAATTCAAAACGTTTTGAAAACATACCAAATAGTCATTCTTTTAGATTTTTAGATTGTCACAAGAGTTTGTTTGGTTGTTGTAAGTCACAAATCTACACAACAGGCTATCTGTGCTCTGCCCACCACGGATATCGAAACCCGATTTTTATTGTTATAAGCCTTCAGAATTATTGCTACGCCATTTGAGAGAGAGAGGGGGGGGGGCGACACCACTGATGTGCCCGTTCAAAACATTTTGCTAATTTCAAAGTTGAGTCTACCGGTGGGACAGCGGTAAGTCTTCGGATTTACAATGCTAAAATCAGGTGTTCGATTCCCCTCGGTGGACACAGCCTGATGTGGCTTTTCTATAAGAAAACACTCGCATTCAAAGTTGAACATTGTAATGATATTCTAACAGGAAAGTCAATTTATGTAAGCACATAATTTTTTCCCCCCATTTGGCTGTTTGCCAAATCGAATGAATGATTTTTCGTCCCCTTCTATGTTTCGTGTTTCGTCTTTAGAACCCAAATTAAGTTTGTCGAACTTATTCTTCAAAGCTAAGTTTGTCCTTAATGCTAAATTATACCTATATTTGACGACTTAGAATGAAGAAGTTTGTTTGTTGTAGATCAAAGCCACATTGGGCTATTTGTTGTGTCCACCGCGGGTAATCGAACCACAGATTTATGCGTTGTAAGTCCTTAGACTTATCGCTATCCCATCAGGGGATAAAATGAAGACGAGGGCTGTCAAATGTAATTTTCCAGGTGGTATACTTAGTAACCTAGAAAAATGTAACAGTGATGTCCAGTTCCGTAAAAAAAACCAAAATGCCGAAATCCGGTGTTTAGCAGTATAAGTCCGCAGACATATATAAGTCCGCTGACATACCACTGTGCCACTTGGGGCTAGCTTGTTAAAGTGTGAATCTGTAAATCTGTGGTTCGCGTCCCGTTGCTGCAAGATCGCACTCAATACTTTGGGAATGTGGGGGGCACTATAAAAGTTAAAGTCAAATCCCACTGTTCTATTAGAGTAGCCAAAGAGTTGGCGTTCTTTGCTGTTCATTAACTCCCTTAATCTATCAGTTCAAAATTAGGAATGGCTAGCGCAGCTAACCCTTGTTTAGCTTTGTGCAATTGTTCGAGACAAACAAACCTTATTAGATAAACATTAATAGGTATGACTTATTGTTAGGACATAATTGTATCCTGGTGAGTATGAATTTCACAAACACAACACCGTATTATGACCGGTTTGGGAGAGTTCTAAACGATCTTACAATCCAGAGCTGAGCAACTTTCTTTTGCTTCAGTTTCTATGTAGTCGCTAAATAAAAACTAAATCCAAATTTTTCGTAAACTGATAAAAAAGGGCTAAGGATATTTAGTGGATATAGATCTTTAAACCAATGTTTCTTCCTTATCAGTGATTTCATTAGCCATAAAAGAGACACATAGGCATAAAAACGTAATTAGAAAAAAAAAACAGTCACAATTTTTTTATTACCTAGGCTATTATGTTGTCGCAGACGATTTATTGTCCATAAACAAAGATTTCCATACTCACGCTTTAACTTTTTTGTAGAAAATTGCGTTAGTCTCACCACACTAGATTATTATGTCAATGATCAGTTCCGCTATACATATTCAAGAGAGATAAACCTCCAACTCATACTAACTTGTACAATTCTCTTCACCACCCCTCGAAATGAATAAGACCTGAAGGTCGTGACACAGAAACGTGGCCAGGATAAAATAAACCCTGTTGAACAATTGTGGTATGTGACCTTTGCCTCAGCTAAAAGGCAGTATACTAAGGATTAAACTCTGTCCTTTTTATCTCCAAGTCATCGCGAGACTTTGCTTGCAGCACATCTGATATATTCCTATAGTTAGAGATCTAGTGCATAGATGGCGCTGACTAATGCTATTTAAGTATGAATCTCAGCTTATTCAGTGCATATTCACAGGAAAATGAAATTTCACCAGGCCACATTATTCTTGTTCATCGCAGTTGTGTGGGCAGTAATTGGTGAGTTAGTAAGCAAACTTTATTGACAAATTTGCATTTTCTAATAGAAAAGGTACAAGAATAAGTATTTCGATTTGTTATATGCTTTGATAAGCTATGGAACTCAAGAATAAGCTTTGTTATATTTCTCGATATTTTTTGCAATTCATCTATTTATATTCCCATAGTTTAGTATAGATGACGCTTTACGAAACTATTTAATCATTTGTAATCACAGCTTATAATGTTTTCACTGTTGATTACTTGGGATTTATTCGAACTGGATTTATCTTAGATTTTACGGAACTTGTTGTTGTTGTTTGTTATTAAGCACAAAGCTACACAAAGGGGTATCTGTGCTCACTAGACTACACCCTAAACGCGACCTGCTTGACGAGGAAATTCTTTAATGTCATCATAAGGTATTTCTGTTTGAAATTCCAAAGGACGTCTCTAAAATATCTAACTTTTTACCAAGCCTTATGCACACAGTCTACAAAATAACTTATAACATGCAAGCTTCAGTTAACTACAGCGTCGCTTTATACATAGATATTATACATATGTTATTTAAAACTAACTAAACCGTGCGTAACGTAAACCTCACTCTCATAGTTATGGATTTTAATAAGTTTATTGTAAGGTTATCTCCTGCAAACCAATGATGATGCTGTGTATAAACACTGATAAATACACTTACTTAAGTTTATTTAAATATGAGTCCACCACAAATGTAAAGTAAAAACAATCCTGATCCTATATCAAAATGAAACAGTAAGGATTTAACATACCGTTAGGACAGACACTACGATCCTGTCCCGGTTCTAAACTAAGGAAACTATAACATATATGTTTGTTTGTTTTTTGAATTTCGCGCAAAG